GGTTTATAGGGCTTATAGGGTTTACCGGGTTTATAGGGTTTGGGGTTTAGGATTTAGGATCTAAGACCTCAACAGCTGGGCTAGGGAATTAATTTACAGTTTAGGGTTTAGGACCCCAGCAATTAGACTAGGGTGTTGGGGTTTAGGGCTCAGGTATCCCACATAAAAACTACAACGGAGACTATGGGTAGGGAAAGGTGGAACAGGCTGAGGGACTGGGGAGATCCTCCAGATCTTGCATTCTGCACACCGCAACAGCAAGCAAAAGAAACTGCAGCTCTTGGCTTGCAGCCTCTGCCTTTCAAGCCAAATGATCTACCGTAAAGGGCCTACATAATTACCAATACTATTTGTTTTGGGGGTTCCTTATTATAACTATAGTATACTGGGCCGCAAAACCCTTTTCTAATCAATAAGGCCCCTGCCTTACCTTCATTGCATGCTCACTTATGGTTAAGATCCTACAGCCCGAGCAATTGAGCGAAACGTTTGGTACCAGAAAACAGGTGGGTAGTTCTCTAAATTAGGACCCCCTTTTCTGGTCCCCAATATAGTACGGCACCCTTATAAAAAGGACCCCAACAGAGGACCCTAATTTAGAGAACTACGCATGTACAGAGCTGTACACCCAAGTCTTCACCACATCGCTTACCCCTGAAGGCCTCAGCGGCCTTACAATGAACACACTGATAACATGTTACAAGGGTTTAGGGTTTAGGGTTTGGGGTTTAGGGTCATTTTTTAATAATCCCTGGGAGCGTTAGTTTTGAAAAAATTATTCCTCAGAGCTTTAAAGAGAAGCTCGCAAGGCAAGTTCCCGACCTCCTGCTCCGTCCGGAAGAAGAAGTGCAGGTCCTCAAGAATAACCATGGATTGGTGGAGCTAAGATAGGGCCCTTTTCGGGGTGGCCTATGTTATCTATGATATGGAGTTGACTTTGCTAGATTAGATGTATCACCATGTCGAACCTTTGAAATCTTTAGAACGACCTCCACCCAGAGGCTCATGGATAAGCAGCGGAGAAGGGCAAGAGAGACGGCTTGAAATGAAGAGGGACTACACGAGAACGAGACGAAATCGCTATATGGCGCCTGTAAGGTTGGGGCTCGAAGAAGTAGAATAGGGGTTTGGGCCTCGAAAAATTATAATAAGGAGCCCCGGGCTGTCTGTCCTGCAACACCGCCTTCTTCGTCGATGCGGAGAGCACTTGCGGCTGACAGGTGGCATCGGTGATGATCCTTGGGGGCAAGCTTTGTCATGGATGCAAACTCCAAACCTTCCGGAAGCAGAACTGTCCACGTCGGACCTGTGGGTTCAGATGGGTTCACTGGATGCCAAGCCCAGCAAACTGACAACATCCAGCTGGATGAGATGGCGTAGCTTTCCATTCCAAAGACATCTGAAGCACTGCACTTGATAAGCACCGCTGGACCAAAGGAACTAGGTGCCCTGCCCCAAGACAGCATTGTTGGACTGGTACATCCTCCAAGCCACGACAGGTGTGTGTGTGTGTGTGTGGATCAACTCGCAGGACAGGATGTAGGACTTATCGCCCTTGTTCTTTGCTTCAGGCAACGGAGGTGGTGAGGTAGAATTTCCGAGCTACGAGGACAACTGCACCACGGTTTTTGGCTGGACGGGAAGATTGTCGTGATGATCGCGATGCTAAAATGGGCGGGGGTGGACGGAGCAAGGGTCCTGTTGTACCCCGCAGCTCAGGCAAACACTCCTAAGACTGAAACCCCTAACTCCTAAACCCTAAAACCCACAAAGCCCTGAGCAGCGTCTTGCGTGATCCCTCTTTGGTTTGTGAAGCAGAGAGTTCTCCAGCTCCCGCTTTAAGTCTCGGTCTTAACTCGTGAAGCCAACACAATTACTTGCCATAAAGAGCCCGATAAGCATCTAGGGATCAGGGGTTTAGGGCATGTCCCCCAAAAGCCTAAACCGTAATTTCGAACCCTGTTCATGCATACAACCTTTTTAAGCGGTTTAGGGTTTCAGGGTTTAGGGTTTAGGGTTTAGGGGTTGGGTTTGACTCAGGTTTCGGAGGACCTGAGGCCCTGGCCAAGAGAAACTCCGGAACGCCGAGACTCCAACAACAGCAAGTAGGTTTAGGGGTTTAGGGGTTTAGGGGTTTCGGTTTAGGGTTTAGGGTTTAGGGTTTAGGGTTTAGGGTTTAGGGTATAGTGCTTAGCAGTAGCTGAACTAATGGTCATAGCAGCAGTAGCAGTCGCAGTAAGCGCAAGAGTCGGAGTTAGAGTGAGAGAAAGAGTAATAGTAACAGTGGAGGTAGTACTAGTAGTAGCCATATAGCAAGTAACATGGTAGCAACCGTAATGGTACTATAGTAACAGGAATAGCAGCCCCTATGTTCAAGGGAAAGTCTCTAAACTATACTTGGGGCTCAGGGAGGGTTGAGGGTTTGCGTTTTGGTTTTGAAAGCTTGGTTAAGGGATACTGGAGTCTTTTGGAATACTGTGCCCTAAACCCTAAACCCTTTTTTCTGAGCAGCTGGCAGGTCTTCAGCTGAAGTGAAGCGATACTCGCTGGTCTTTTGCCGTATCCTGGAGAGGAAGTGCTCGCGGCATAGGGTTCGGGGCACTCTGGGAAGCCCCAAATCCGAAACCAGTTTGGGGTGAGGAGTTGGAGACGTCTTGTTCTTGTTCCCCTCACGAGAATTCAGGATCAGGGCTTGCTCGCGCAGGGCTCCACGCACTAATTTCAGATAATGATCTTACTATCTAGGATCTATTGGGATCCCCTGAATGTCTTCAACTCGTTCTTGGTGGTTGGGTCCACGGCAGCGCGGCCTCTGCGTGCCGAACATGTGCAAGCCAATGTTGGAGTAGCTGACCGTCCACACCTAAGCAACGACTGGCTTCCGGACCGGCCTTTCCTAATTGTGAATCGGTTGGCTGTATACCCAACCGGAATATCAACTTATTAACTTGTAGTTATGACTCAGACTTCTCAGAAGGTTCGCGCACTTTGGTAGCAAGTTCAATTGCGTCCATCATTCGAATTCCCTTGGTTGGGGCCAGCAAACCATCCACACACACACACACAATTGACCAGTGAATTCCAGGCATCGTGAGAGCCGGCTTCTCAGACAATGTCAGGCAACGACTTTTAACTGGTAGGCTTGGTCGGCAGGCCTGGTGGCTGAGAAGGCTTCTAAAAGCCTCAAGCACAAAAGACTGTAACAGAAAATTGAAACACCCCGGCCTAAACCCTCAACCCTAAACGTCAGCCCTATACCCTAAGACACAAGCATGCATGGGCAACCCCGCATTTCGGCTGTCGGCTCGCTGCAAGGCGAACGGAGGATTGTCCTCCCGATATTCAGCATCCATGAACTGTTGTGCTACGGGTTTAGGGCTGTTGCGTAGCAGGGTGTGTGTCAGGGTTACAGAGTTTGAGAGTTTAGGGCTTTGGGGCTTCAGGTTTTAGGGCTTAGGGTTTGAGGGTTGTGCAGTTCAGGCAGGCTTAGAGCAACCAAGAGTTGTTGCCAGGAAGCGACTAGAAAGCCTGCGCCAAATTGACACTGAAAAGCCGTCACATAGCTCTACTAAGGATTCGCATGCAAGGTCGGCCCGTCTGTGTCTGTGAGATATCGCTACGGCTTGGGATCGTGTTCAACCCTAAACCCTAAATCCTAAATTCTACACCCTACACCCTAAACCCTGAACCCTAGACCATAAACCCTACACCCTGCGGCCCTGCGGTAGAGTACAAAGCACGCAGCATGCACTCACAACCGAAGCCGCTATGCAGCCTGCTAAGAGAGGGGTGTAGAATGTCACAAGCCAATAAAGGGGTATATTCAGATTTTCTATTACATGGCTGCATATATATATATATATGTATATATATATGTATGCATGCACGTATGCGCGTAGAAACCTCTCTCTTGAAATATGTGTGCATATACAAGTGTGTGTATGTGTATGTATATATATATATATGTATCAGGGACTATGACGGAAATACTAGTACTAATTCTGCCCTCTGCCTTACCTCCTATGCTGAAAGGATCAAGGCTCGGGCTGCTGTGATTTTCACCACCTCAGCAGCCCAAGGAGTCTAAGAATGCGAAGCCCAGGTAGCTTAAAGGGTTCTAACAGGGTTTCATAGGAGAAACTACTGGCTTCTTCCGGTGTGTTTTTTGGGTGTTTAGGGCTTGGTGCTGTTAAGCTGGGTGTGAACCCCAGAAAGTTGGAACATGGGTTACTTGATTGTTGCTAGGATCCCTTGTGCATCACTGTACTGGCATCAGTGTAATCATGTTCCAATCGGTAGGGTTTGGAGCCTTTTCATTGGGGCGGCCGAGGGGGTTGGGTTAGGATGTTAGGGCATGCGGGGTAAGGTTTATGAGGTGAAGGGTTCTTGGGATTCGGAGATTTGGGGCACAGGATTCCGGAGGCTTGGCATAGGAAGGACTCAACGAGAACCATGTTGGTAGGAGTGGGGTTGCTGCCAGAAATATTCGTAATTATGCGTAGTATCGACCTGATAGTCGCGCGAGCGGGAAAGCTCAATCAAAGAACCCTGTATTGGAACTGTGGGCAGAGAAATACGAGCTTGTCGATAATGATAACGACGCAGTCTGTGATGCTGTTGATGATGATGGTGATGGTAATGGTGATGATGATGTTGATGACGATGACGATGACGATGACGATGATGATGATGATGACGAGCATCCTCCGTCCAGGGCACCAGGGTAGAGCATTCAGGCCCCCCACTCCCCTACTCACTGACTTCCGAACGCTGCAGCACCGGCATACTGCTGCTTGATTCAGTGCTGCTTGTTTCAGAGCTCGCAGACCCATCATTGCTAAAAAGACGTGGCACCCTTCAACAAGGCTTAACACAAGCGTCAAAGGGTGGAAGGTCCTGCACTGTACTAAGTCTGAAGTTTGCAGCACACTCCTGAACTCCAAAAGATCTTCGAACGTATCAGCAGGCCAGCAAATGCCAGCAACCACTCAGTAGCCCGCCAAGGACGAGCCCGCGTAGACGATGCCATCCGGGTGCTTCGGGGTGAAGATACACTTGTTGCTTTCCACGCTCCAGCCTCGGTCAAGGTACTGTTGCAGGTTCGTACTATCCACGCACGACGGATAGAAAGTGATCATACGATGAGACCTCTTTCGATCGCTAAGGCTGCTACGGGTTCCCAAAACCGGTTGTTCACGGTGTGTAGTTGTTAGGTACTTCATTGCCGGCGATGCTATCTAGAGCCCCCGCACAGTTGCAGCACGAAGTGAGGTTCCCTCATTCAGGGCGAATAGCTTCCTCGGGCCACTGCACCGTTTGCCACTGAAGTGAAAAACTTCTGGTTTGTGTACGGTTTTGTGGTTGACAGCTCAAGGATTCCATGGTACTATCAGTGCAGGGTCGCCCCAGCAGCAGAAGTTCCGCATGCCCGGAGGTCTACTAGAATCTATAATAAGCCTTAGAAAACCAGCGAGCAAAGAATGCAAGCAAGCAAGCCCTAGTCAAAACCCTGAATCAACGTCCTAAACCTTTAGGGTAAACCCCAAACCCAAAGCCCTATACCTTACATCCTAAACCCCTTAACCCGAAACCCTATTCCCCTAAACCCTACGCCCTCTACCCTCGAACCTTAAAGCTGAGCTCCCGGCCAAAAGTTGAGGAACCATCGGTTGGGGTCCCTCGGCCCTGAGGCACCTGGCAAGCCATGATTTTCGCAAAAAACGGGTTCAAGACATGGGTAGTTCTCTAAACCAGGGTACCGTTTAGGGCCGCTTTTATAAAAAGATGCCGTGCTAATTTGGGGACCTAAAAGGGGGCCTAAGTTTTGGAACTACCCACATGGGGCCAGGCTCGAGGACTTTGCTTTAGCGCTTGAGGGTTCTGGTTCAGAGCTGACGGACTTTGGTGACAGTTGCGCTCTGAAACCCTGAAACCCGAAACCCTAAACATCCCTAAACGGTAAACCCTGAACCCTAAACCCTAAACCTGAAACTCTCCAGGCCCCAACCTCGGACCCTGGAAGCCCTAAAAGCCCAAGCCCTCTGCCTGGCTGCCGAAGGCCGGGAGAGTCGTGGCAGCTTCCCATGGGTTGATGCCTGGTGTTTAGGAAGGTTTAAGGTTCTGGGTCTAGGACCTTAGGGTTTAGGGGTTTCGGGTTTAAGGTTTTTTCGGGTTAATTATAAGGTTTCAGGTTTAGGGTTTCGGGGTTTCGGGTTTAAAGTTTAGGGCTTAGGGTTTGGGGGCTTTGTGGGTTTATGGGAATGATACCCCAACTAGCCTCGTGTTCCCTTCGTCATGCAAGCCTGATGACTCCTGCTTTTTCGGACTGTCCCTTCAGCATCTATACGCCCAGGGCGGTTCCATGAATCCAAAGCTCTGCGGGTCCATCCTATAGTACATCCTCCATCCGAGAACAACCCTACGTAAGCCGGGGGAGCTTGCTTCTGTCGCTCACAGGCTGCTTACTTGTGCCGAATCGTTGCGTAAACCCTAAACCCTAAACCCTTAACCCTAAACCCTAGACCCTGAACCCTAAACCCTAAACCCTGAACCCTAAACCCTTACTCCTAAGCCCTAAACCCTAAACCCTTAACCCTAAACCCCAAACCCCAAACCCTAAACCCTGAACCCTAAACCCAAAACCCTGAACCCTAAACCCTTAACCGCGTCTTGATGCTTCGGCGAGCCTTCGAAGGCCGTGGGCATTCTGCAGGTGTACCCCTGACTTTAGGGCATTTTTAGTGTTGTTATGAAAAATACTTCAGGGAATCATAGGGTTTAGGGTTTATAGGGTTTAAGGTTTAGGGAAGAGTTCGGAACTTCGATTTGAGGATTTGGTATTTCGGGAGTCAGGCGTTTGCAGCGTTGCGCTGGCTCGAAGGACTTTTAAGATTTGATCAAGTTTTAGGCACTCAAATGGGGCGTAGGCTGACCTCATGTTTGTGGCTTCACGTATGTTCTTCGATGTGAGATTAGAACATGTTGCCACATCGAGGTCATCTACCAATGTGTGTCGCATAGGACAGCAAGCGATGTACAGTATCCCAATGTGTATGTATGCATATACACATATCATTAGAGTAGAAGCCCCAAAGTTGGAAACCCAATAGCCTCTGTCCTTAAGGGTAATGTATAGGGAATCCCAGCACTATTTGTCCTTAGTCCAGTTTCCAACTTTTTGGCGCTTATTGTATTACAACTGGTTTTGCCCTTCATGTGCTGTATATAACTCTCAAATGTCTTATACGCTGCTGTGCCAGTAATTCACGTCTCTCGCAATGTTAACGCAGAGAAACATACAGACACATAGATATGGATCTAAAAACAGATGCCTACACATGCAGTTGAATGTACACCGCAAAAGGTTCGCGATTCCAGTGCTGGTGCATGATGAATAACAATTTGGCGTGTACATGTGTATTTCTGCGTATAATTAAGGCCAATCACGAGCTTAAAACTTGAATCAAAATGGTATCTTCTTATGCATGGGCTTCGCGTTTTTGGACGGCCAGCGCAGACTCGGCAGACGGGGCACCCTTCCTGCAACTGCTGTAGGTGTTGCTCCCAACGCAAAAGGCTGACAAACGAAACAACACCTAACACCGGAACCTCCTGAAATCAAACCCCCGCCCTACAACCTGAAACTCCCAGCTGTACAGCTCATGAAGCCCTTAACAGCAAACTTGCAGAACCCATAAGCGGATTCCAAAACCCCGGAAAAACCTTGTTCAGGTGTCCTTCTAAGCCGGATGGTAGACTTCTACCATCTACGGTCTACTTTAGGATTGAAACTCTCATATGCATCCTCAACTCAAGCCCCCGCCCCCAAGATGTCAAGTTTGTTCCGGCCTCCGGGAGCGTAATGGTGAAGGAGGCATCGTTCTTAGTAGCAGGGTGTAGAGTATATGTTTGACGTTGAAGGGCTCCGGTGCGAAAGGCTCCGGGTTGAGGGCATCGTAGATTGCGGAGTAGCGATCATCGTGCTCGGGGGTCGTTCAGGTTTGCGCGGTCGAGGCTATGATTGGGCTCAAGTAGAACTGCGAGCTCTTGTTCTCTTCCTTGACCTCGGTGGGCGGTTCGAATCCTACTGCAACTCCCTAAGTCCCTAATAAGTCATTACTTTTGAATATGCCCCGCAACCCTACTAAAACTACCAAGGGCGTTACATTCGGCTCGAAACCCGAATCCATCCTCTTACGCGCCCTGAAACTCTTCCTACCGTGCCGGCAGGCGCACTACAGTAAGCAGCCAAAGCCCACATGATAGTCCAACCGCTATCCGCTAGAGACCTTTGTCCACCTGACACTATACTGATACATGGATCCTTTGGATTTTAGACGTATCGACCCCTGAACCCAAAAGTTATAAGTGCAAACCGAAAGATGTGGGCTGCGGACGTAGGTATCATCTCGGGCCTTGATCGTTGAGGACAGTGTAAGCCTTCGCGGCGGCCCAAGGCCAGCGGGGCATTTTGTATTTGTATGCTTGACAATGATGTGATGCGGCCTGTGGTTTAAACTTACGATCAATGCTGCTACTATGCCGTCTCTTTCGAGCATGCATGCTTCTACGATTACTCTTATTTCTACTCGTTCGATTGCTGTGTAGGTGCATGTGTAGCCTTAGGGGGCTAGGGTGCCGAACAAGACAAAGCAACAAACGGACAACAAAGCCTTCATCAGGCGGGTTTACATTTTAGGGTTTGGGGTTATTGTCTGACACATTCGACCGTGCTGGCACCGATCTCACTTTTGGGGCTGCCAAGCGAGCAGAACAGACAAGGAGACTTGACACTGTAGAAGCCAAAAGCAGCTCAACACCTTGTCCAAGCAGTTACAGATAGATACAGAAAACCATGGACACATGTAAACCTCAAGCCCTGCACCATCAACATGCTGTTGCAGTTGTGCATGGGTGGATCGGAGCAGCCTGGCGTAGAGCACGTTCATCTGGTCGCCGCGGAAGGGCTTGGCATTTCCTGCGCCGATCAGGGTCAGGCCTGACTACTGTATCATAGGGATTTTGATCACCACTAGGATCAGGTCGATGCGGCCGGTATACAGGGACTATCAGGGGATAGTAGAAACATTTATTTCAACCGCCCATATTCGATGTACAAGTTTCAGGGAGCCTGTCCGAGCGTGTTTCAAAGCACGCGCTGTGTCAAGATTGGGCACCTTTAAACATGCAGCTGCTGCCTCCCCCAAGCTGCGAGACAACCTTCGCAATCGTGATGCCCGGGTTCGGCTCCTGCAGTTGTACCGCATGTTGACTGTAGCAGCATGTGCTCTGGGGGCATGGTGCCAACTCTCCGCACTGGCCTTGTAGATATAGCTCCCGCTCGAGAGCACGTAGTTGGGACGCTGATCGAACTGGTTCGTGACCTCATCGCGGGTCGGATAATTTGAGAAACGCAGCCCCAGCCGCAACCAACTAATTGAAGCCGTCGACTCCATCATCCGTGAGGCATGACTGCCAACAAGCAAAGGTGGTACTCTTATGTCTTATCCCTCCCACAGCGGAACCCACGCTGTGACGTGCCTGCGCCGCCAAGCGCTGAGCGAAGAAGCCGCCGGAAGGGATGGTGACGCCTACACGGTCTAAAGTTTAGGGTTAGTCGTAAACATTGAGCCGAGCTTTTCGCCGGAAATGCTTGAGTTGCTCAATCAATGTTCCGATTGCTGGGACGGAAAGCGCTCACAAGCTGACATGTAGTTCCGGGCAATAGGCCACCAATACTGAAGAACAGGCCGCTATTCTGCTTAATCAACTGTATTGGATGGAGTGGCAGTGTCGGGCGAAATGACTAGATCTCACGACAATGGCTTGTCGAAGTGTGCAGCCCCATGAAAAGGAAAATCACTGTAGCTGTTCAACATCTCTGTGAGATGCTCTCAACTTCCACAAAGCCCCAGCTGAAACAACAACTTTGCAGCTTCAGCTTTGAAGACATTGTGGTCGCTGTGACGGCGCATGGAAGATGTCTGCAGCTGATTCAACTGCTCCAACTGGCGCTTCTCCGTCTCCTCTCGCTTCAGGTTGTCCACCCAACACTCCAAGGAGAGTCGCCTCCGTCTCGTGCGCCTCCTCCTTTTCGTTGCTCGTCTGCTCTTTGAGCTCTGCTCGCAGCTCTTGTGTTACCCTGTGCTCATGAGTGAGCATACGTCTCATCTCGTCCAGTGAAGCCTGGAGCTGACTCACCTAATCCTTTAGCATGGATTCGTCGTTGGAGGGTTCAGCGGACGACAGCACTGGCTCAGGCTCGCACAGCCAGTGAGCCGTGTGGGCTATTTGTGCCCACAGGGAGGCCATGGGGGTGCTAAGCTCGCCGAAGCACACAAAATGATTAAACGAGCTGGACCGAAGCTCCGCAAAAAAAAAAGCCTTTGTGATTTACCTACGGCGGCAGAAAATATTTAGTTTCGAAAGCAAGGCTGTCACGCGGTCCAAGAAATACTGTGCAAGCAGCAGGCAGCGTCCGTCAGCATATGTTGGTGCCTGCCTCCAATGCGAATGCGCACCTTCCGATTTCCGTAGAGGTCCTGGCCACGGTCGGGGTCAGCAGTACTTGTCAAGGAGAAGAAGTACCAGTACTGGTACTAGTAGCAGCAGCAGTAGTAGTAGAAGAAGAAG